GATTTTATTTATTTATTTGACAGAGAGAGAGACAGCGAGAGAGGGAACACAAGCAGGGGGAGTGGGAGAGGGAGAAGCAGGCTTCCCGCGGAGCAAGGAGCCCGATGCGGGGCTCGATCCCAGGACTCTGGGATCATGACCTGAGCGGAAGACAGACGCTTAACGACTGAGCCACCCAGGGGCCCCCAGACAGCCCTGCTTTAGACTCCTGTCTGGTTTAGGAAAACTGCTCCATAAATTTGGTTTCCTTCTCTCTTACCTTTTTTCAAATCACTATTGTAAATCTTTTGGATAGAATCCTGAAACAAGATATTGTTTTAAAAACCAGGAAGCCCCTTCCAAGAAAAGAGTGCCAAATAAAACTTACCTCCGCCATGACTTTTGATGTACAGTGGCTTTTCTCTCCTCTTCTGGATTCTTAGAGAATGAAAAAGATGGAAAAGGGTTAAGAAACATTAAGACAACAGACCCTTCTGGGAGCTCAGACGAGGCCAAGTCAGAGCAAACCCTGGCTCCACTCCAGGCCAAAGAAGCCTGTAACCCCACCCCCACTCCTATCATCACACAAAGCGGGCGACCTTAGGGGCCCAGATGGGAGTCCTGGGAGAGAACCCCAGACTATGACCTCCTTCCTCGATAGGAGCCTGACTGGATTCTTCCAGGCCCTGTATCTTACACTGAGCCCAGATAAAACACAACCTACGTGGATCCATCAGTCAAAATCCCACACTCCTGTCCTCTAAACTGGGGGCACCGCTATGGGCCTGGATCCCCTGAGCCCTCAGCACAGGGAAGTGGAAGGAGAGTCTCCCAGGCCCAAGGTCTAGGAAGGAGGGTCTCCAAGGCCCAAGGTCTAGAAAACCCCGGGACACCAGAAATAGCCCCTGGGAGGCGGCTATTCACCGTGCTGAAGAGCGAGTGGCGGTTTCGGTTGTCAGTTTCGGCTGGGATCCAGAATCCAATGGGGGTTAGAAAGGCTCGAAACGCAGGCGGGGTCTGAGATTGCCTCAGAACCCACCCACTCGCTGACCCCACTCAACGCTGACCAAGAAAGTACAAAGGGAAGTGCCTTTCCAGTTCTAGCTCCAAAGGCAGAGTCGGCGATGCGGCCACATGGAGCCTCTCTCAGTCTACTAACCACGGCCCCACCAGCACCGGTCGCCGAGCAATGGAGGTCGGGCGCACAATCCCCGTCCGGGGAGTATCGCACGGACTTTCTGTCCAGGCAGGTCACACAGCAGCGACACCTCTGACCTCCAGACACTGCCAGCCAGCTCCAGAGCCAGCATGAAACCACTCGCCCACTTCGTGCAGGTGCACGGCTGATACCTCCCTCCCCCGAGTCAAGAGTAGAAGCCTCGACATTCCCCAGCCTCCCCCACGTCCTTTACTTTTCGAGCGCGAGAACGCAGCCTAGAAATGCCCGACAGCCACCCATAAGTAAGACTCCAGACAGACCCCGACCCCGCCCCGGAGCTCCTCACCGGGCACTTCTCCCGGGTCCTCACACGCGAGTCTGGTCGAATCCGCCCCAAACCAGTGAGTCAGGCGGCCCGCAACGCCCCAACCCCTCGCGCCCGAACTCCCGCCAACTCACCACCCGCCAGCCAACTGCGGCCGGAAGTAGCAAATACCGCAGAGCCCTCAGGAAAATGTAGTCCCGGGAAGGAAAACTCTAACCAGAGCCTGGCCGGTACAAGTCTTCACCCAGTGTCGCGTCGTGTTCCTAGCCTTCAGTGAAGGCCAGTACTGACAGCCCAACCTCGACTGAGCATCCTCTGCGGACCTGGGCGAACCGACAGGTCCAAGCAGCAAAAGTTGGCTGCTGAGGGGTAAAAAAAAAAAAAAAAAAAAGTTGTGGACCGTGGAGGCTTCTGGGAAATGTAGCCCACAGCGGAGGAAAGGGTGGGCTGGTACGCCCCCAGCACAACCGGAGTCCTCTAAATTAACCCTTGTGCAACAGTCCTCGCTGCACACTACGAAATGCCCAGAGGCTACTAGGAACCGTAGTTAAAAGCCGGGAAGCAGACAGTTCAGAGTCCTCTCCACAAGGAGCCGCGCTCTGAGAGCGGGATCAGGAGCGAACGACTCGCCGCTACACCATGAACTAGGCGTCCTCCCGGACCTGGGCTGTTCAGCCCGCCCCACGATCCTTCCTGGTGGAGTTGGGTGCTCAAGTTTCGGATGAGAATTCATTCCCCAGTCCCGGCGCCCCCCAAAAGTGCAGTACTCCCTTGGTACTGCTGTAGGGTAGCTGCCCGGCGTCCCGACTTTTCAACCCAATTCGGGCGGGGCCACAGGGACGCCAGGTAAGGGCCCATCCTGGAGGCGTTTGGGAAATGTAGTCTCAGCCTAACGGGTTGGGAATGTGGCAGAGGAGAACCTGAATGAAGGGTGGCAGTCTTGAGCTCAGGATGCAGGGGTCTGAGAAGGCCACGGGGAAGGTGAAGGAGGATAAGCCTAGGTCCCGAGTAGAAATCACGGAATACCAATACTGAACTCTATATGCCATGCATTAGTGTTTCCAAACTTTTTCTAAGTACATAAATGCAGATGGAAATGCACTTGGGTCATAAGATCTTTGGAAAGTTACACTAACATTTGTTAACAACAGTAGTTAATGGCTAGAATGTGTAATTGTGATTTTTTTTTTTTTATTTTAAGAGTATTCCCTTATATTGGGGCCATTCTCGTGTCCTTATGAAACACTCAATTTTGTTAAATAAAAAATAAGTTTAGACTCTGAAATTGAACTAGAAAACAAAAAGTGGGCCAGATTTTTTAAATAGCACAGTTTGGTTCTAAAAGATAAATGAGGGGCGTCTGGGTGGCTCAGTTATGTCTGCCTTCCGCTCAGGTAATGATCCCAGCGTCCTGGGATCCAGCCCCACTCGGGCTCCCTGCTCAAAGGGGAGCCTGTTTCTCCCTCTCCCTCTACCTGCTTCTCCCCCTGCTTGTGCTCTCTCTCTGTCAAATAAATAAATGCAATCTTAAAAAAAAGATAAATGAAACACAATATTCATAAACAATAAAAAAACAAAAATTAAAACAAGAACATTAGAAATGGGAAAGGTTAAACCATAAACAAAATTTAAAAGAATTTTGAGGTTGTTATGAGCAACTCCATAACCACAGTAGAGGTAATTGTAGATTTTCCAGTAAAACTGAAATTACTACTTTCTACTAAGAAGTAGAAAACCTGAACAGAATAGCTATAATAAAATTTAAATATATCTTTAAAACTACTGTTAGAAAGGTACCAGATAGTTATTTTTAGCTACTTTTTGATTAATGATTTTTTAGTTTATTCAGATCCTGGGAAAAGATGGAGTGCTTTTTTTTTTTTTTAAGATTTTATTTATTTATTTATTTTAGAGACAGCAAGAAAGTGAGTTGGGGGAGGGGCAGAAGGAGAGAAAGAGAGAATCCCAAGCAGGCTCTGCACTGCCGAGCCCAGTGCCAGGCTTGATCCCAGGACCCTGAGATCTTGACCTGAGCCAAAATCAAGAGTCGGTTGCTGAACCAACTGAGCCACCCAGGTGCCCCAAGATGGAATGTTTTCTAATTAATTCTGTCTAACTGGCAAAAATCTGATAAAGATAGGCCAAAAGAAAAGTACGGATTAGTTTCATTTGGATTAAAAGATAAACTGAGGTACCCTAAAATTTTCAAGAATTTATTTGCACATACATCGTTTTGAATCAGGCAGTATCAAACTGAAAGTGATAGGAGCGCGCCACCAACAGGAGCTAATGGAGAGGTTTTTATAGAGAAGACCCTGAAGCAAAGCAAGGAAATTATTTGATTAGCTATAACTTAAGCAGTTGCCTTGTATGGCAAAGCTAAGGTGGCTTTTTGTTATTAATTGTTCTTAAGTTTTATTTTCTCTGATTGGGGTGCATTGATTTTGGGTTAGGTTTTGGTTTGCTTTGATATGCTACCAATGCATTAGAACTATTTCAGTCTAATGGCATCCTTGTTTAATTACTTTAACATTTGTGGCTATAGATGCAAAAATTCCAAATAAAAGGCTGATATCAACATGTACTATAAAATTTGTACAGCGATTATGTCAATAGATAATGTTGGAAGAACATTAAAAACATACAAAATGTATTGTATGAACAAATTAAAGGAGAAAAATATACATATCAATCGATGCCAATTAGATAATGTGGTAGACAGAATAATGTCCCCACTCAAGATGTCCAAGTCCTAATCCCCAGAACCTGTGAATGACTATGTTACCTTACATGGCAACAGAGACTTTGCAGATACCCTTAAATTAAGAGTTTTTGGTGAAATGAGAAAGTTATTCTATATTATCTGAGTAGATCCAATATAATCACAAGGCTCCTTAGAGAGGAAGGCAGGAGCGTCAGCCAGAAAAGAACTGTGAAGACAGAAGGAAAACTTGGAATGATGTGCAATGAGTAAAGGACCATGAGCCAAGGAATACAGGCAGCTTCTAGAAGCTGGAAAAGCAAGGAAATAAATTCTCCCCTAGAGCCTATAGAAGAAATGCAGCTCTGCCAACAATTTGATTTTAGCCCATTAGATCCATTTCAGAGTTCTGACTCCAATCTCTGGGTGAAGAAATCTTCCTTCCCTCAGAGCAGGAGGATGGACTGACATGTCAGTCATCAGAAAGCCATGTTCTTGATAAATTAGTCCATCTGCCTTCCTGAGATACACCCCCGCCTACCCCAACCAGGATATTCTGCATTCCTTCTCCTGAAACTTCTTTTACAGAAACAGGTTGAGGAACTGGTTCCCTAGTTCTCCTGTGTTAGTGGGGTCTTTGGATATACATCCACAAGCAGCTCAGTGCCTTCCCACATTTATTTCTCCCATATGATAGAGTGCAGTCACCTAACAGGCACATTGTCTTCAACTGTTTATTTTGAAATTTTTCAAATTTCCAGAAGCATTGAAAGAA